GAAAGCCAAAATCATATGGCTGGCAAGTTACTACATCAAGGTTCCATTGTGATCTAGTGATTTTCCATTTCGAGCTGAACATTACGCTACTATCAATTGCAAAATTGCGATTAGGTAAAGGATAGAGGATGGTGCCTCAAAAGTTGTGATAGAGTAAAGCAGAGAGCCCATTCGATTATGACTTCTCCTAATAATTGTGGAGGTTTGATAGGGAGGGATTAGTGCAGGAAGATGCACCCATGGTTCGGGAGCCGAATTGATATCTGCCCATGCCGAACAAATCCTCGTCCCGGGGACCACTTATCGATACCATACCCACACATGGGGACGGAAACACTGNTATAGCTTACATAGGCACTAAATGATTGATAAATGATACGCCCGTACAATCGACTCGGTGTGGAATCGAGTCGATTGTACGGGCGTATCCCATGATTAGGATTGATGAACCAAAAAAGTTCATCCTTTGTACTCTAATCGTGGAAAATTTATGAGAAAGTCCTACAGTGAAAATCGTTGGAGAAAAAAAGTACCTGCTCTTTCACGTGTAGGTTACAAGTATGGGCAATAATATAGCAGAAACAAAGTGCGCGTACATCTTTGACTGCTGCTCGGAGGAGGTTCTGAAAATCACCAGCATTTATTGGAAACTCAATCTCAAAAGATAGATATAGTACTATAACTGTGCCCTTAGAAGGTTGCGTGACATTAGGTCCGGAAACGATGAAGCGCGACTAGCCTCTTGGGTAAAAAAACTCTACCTCGTTAATTTGCTTGAGTAGATGGTCATTCCCATAGAATTCAGCCAGGTAGGCAAGGCATGCGACACTTTTGATGGAAAGGTCCTCAGCCACCGGTTCTCGTTTCACTGCGTGGCGAAGGAAAGCCGAAACGGCGTCTCGAGGTAGTTGGGACACATCCACTCGGCTTGCGACTGCACCTTTCTGAAAATATTCAGGTTCAGTAATTAAATTAGGTGGCTACCTTACGCATGGCTAGGAGATCTAAGGCCGCCCCAACACGTCTTTCACCCCCTGCAAAGCAGTCTCGTTTGTAGTAGAATCCTCTAAAAGGAAGTTGGTCTACTCGCAGAAACATCAAAGAATTATCGTTCGACATCGATTGACTGTTTAGCTGATTGCTTGTTTATTAATTATTTATTTATTTCTGGCAATTGAACAGCTACTTTAGTATCATCATTACTGTAAAACTTCATCGGTGCAGGATGGGGTTGATGATAGTTGTAGAAGACTTTCTATCAAACGTCATGCGTTATTGATCGATATTGATCAATCACTAGTGGCTACGGTAGTAGACTTTGGCTCAGTATGTTGCAAACGTATATCACTCGAAAAAGTTTGAGCATTCTCTGTAAAGAAAAGACCTTCAAAGGAAGCTACGCTCATACAAGTTCAGCATTACCAAATAGCACAGTGAACAGCTCATATATACCTTTTCGATGACATCATAATCCCATTAAACCCGACTGAGTCACCGCATTTGCCTAATGTTCCAAAAACTGAAGGTTCCTTTGAATACCGAAGAAGAACTCCATGATTAACCTTCCATTGAATGAGCCAAGCGCTAAAAAGTACTGATGTCCAATTATGTGGAAACTTGGTCATCCTTCGCCGGATTCGCCGGATGTCCTCGTTAATAATTGCCATCATTTTCTCCTTCTCCTTTTTCCCTCCGCTCAGTAAAATCTCATAGTGAACGTTGGACGCTGCGGTTTGCCTGATGAATAACGATTGTCTCGTTTGAGTTTTTTGATCCCAACCAGCAGACATTTAACACCTAGGTAGTCGTCATTCTTCATCGCCATTGAGCTCAGGTTGTCAGCAAGGGCTCCGCCTTCACAGAAGGTTGGAAAATCCCTGATACTACCTTTCCACGACACCCTTCCCTCCTTCACCTTCTCTGACTTGTTATTTCCTTTCTAGTTCAGTAAAAAGTAGACCGGAACTGTAGTTCTCGTGCTTTTGTTTGGGTCTTCAGATACTCCAGAACGTGTTGCCAAAAGCTCAGCTGTATAGAACTATGACCGCTTCGCAAAGCTAAACTTTCAAGTACCAAAAGTCCGAACAATACAGAAGATGTGCTGGCATTTATATTGCTCGAATCTTGAAGTGCTCAACGATACTATATGATTAACAGTGATAAAAAGTGGTGATAAAATTAGTAAAAATTCATGCTACACTCTTTTGTTACCTAATAAGTTCAATCTATCAGAAAACGATGTTCGTCATACCTAGTGCTTCAAATTGATCGCCTTGTTTTACCGATTCCACCGCTTTTTTACTCAGCTATTATGATCACCCCATTATACTGCTTATTATCATAAGATATCGATAGCGCTGGTGGTCTGCTAAGTCAGTATTGTTCGTATTGGCAATAACTAAGCAATAATATAGTTTTCATAGTTATGACTACGTCATAACGACTTACTCAACCCGCAGTTTCTCTAATATTACTGGAGCGATATTACGACAAAACAGAGTAGATGGAATATGTTACCAACTTAGTATTTAATTAGATAGCCTTCCATTTTTGTCTGTTTACAATATTTCGCCCAAGCAACTTTTTGAATTCCCGCCTTTTCCCATTTTTCTTTTTTTAAGTATATTATTTAATATTGTATTTATGAGAATAATAATATTTATGAGAATAATATTTATGTCTGAGCTGTTCAAAGTGCAAAGTGCATCACATGAAATCAATACAATTGATTGGTCCATTAACCATATTGAGAACCGACATTGCAAAATTCGTTCTCAAACTGGTATAGGAAACCAGTTGGTGCACCAGGTGGTTTTTATGGTCCTATGAGAAACGACTACTTGCTTGCTAGAATGCACAGGTTCTGGTAAGTGGTCTTTTTCGACCTGTGACCTTTACAATGTGATGTTATTATGTAGACGTTCCGACATCGTTTTCTCCAACTTACTGGTAACCAGAATTTCCATAGCTTTCCTATGCTATCCTCTCGGATCGTTAATTATTTCTATCAGAACAAGTTTTACTTCGTAGAATAATCTGTTGAGTACTGTAGGACCCAAGAATGATCTCCCAATCGAAGGATTTCCCTTCAGACTCGTTTCGAAGGCGCAGGTGACCGATTCAATCATTGCGGTGGCAAGCCCATATACAAGTCAGTGCTTTCACCTTCCCAGGCAAGTCTGGTACCAGTTAATCAATGATACTGGGGCTTGGTTGATGTGATATTGACCGAGGATTCGATTCCTGGACCAATTCCGCTTGTTCTGTGCCACTTGATCTGCCTCCACCACCTTCGCTTTGGTAGTGCACTATTAGTTTTAGAAGTAATTAATAATGCACTATTAAAAGAACCAAATAGACCACCCAGAGACTATACTTGAACTCTTACACTACATATTGACAACTTAAAGTAGGTATAATCTGGGTTCAATGTCATTTAAATTGTCATCCCTCCCATGCAATCCCCCTCTAGCCATCCTTTGCCCACTTGAACTACAGTAAGTGCAGTGTAGAGTTGATGTATGATCCTTTTGCTATTCTTTTAGGTTGAACCTATTCATGTACCCATTCCTCATCCGGTCGCTAAGTAACAAATTGCTTTTCGACATTAAAAAAAANAAAAAAAAGTAGTTCGTAAACTTCTCTACCTTATATTTCACCAGCACGAAATTTTCTCGGCCAGATTGTGTCGTGCACAAATGCGCACGATAATCTCTATTTTAAAATTTCGTACAAAAAAGTATCTCTCTGGATATTTTGTTGTTCCAGTAGCAATTCGACAACTATCTAGGTTAATCTCGTCTGGAGCATTTTTCGTTCAGATATCGTAGTGTGTAATAGAGTCAACGGCGTTAGTCAACCCTTTCAAGGATACGCCATGAATCCAATAAAGTTATTGCATTACGGTAATGCGATAAAGGTAATGCATTCCAGACTATTTAGTGATTTGAGAAAACAATGTAGCTGCTCTACCAAGGCTCAATAACTACTCAGTCACGTGTGCAACTTATCTTACGAGTATGGATTAGTATCGTTACAGTAGTTCAGAAAACCATAATATTCATATCGATTTTTGGAAATGTTGTTCGGTGACTTTGTACTTTGGTCCCTATGGGGAAGGAATTACCGTCTAGACTATTAACGATGGTCGTTCTCGCGTGAAATTCAAGTTCAACTTCCTGAGTTCTTCGAATTTGACATATTTCATAGGTATAATTTCATTCGAATCGCTATTTCGTTTTCGAAAATTCAATTTCAATTTCCTATATCTAAATTTCAAAATTTGATAGGTAACGGTATGGGCAGCTCTTTCTCCTATCGACTGAGCACTGAAAGCAGTTAGGTCGACCTCAGAATTGTCTATTTTAGCCTACTTGACCGTTATAGAAAGGTAAGGCTTCGGGAGTCAACGTCCAGGATGCGCTCCGCATTCGACTTTCGTACAGAATCTTCCAAAGTAGTGCCGGTTTGAATGCGTGTGGGGCCAATATGTACAATGAATGACGGTGGCTACTCGATGGACAAATCAGTGCATCCATTTTCCCATACGAGCCTGCACTATTTACTCCTCCTTGGTTAGATAGAAGGCTTGGTTGGAGCAGGATAGTGTCGATTTGGGATACGAATATCAGAGTAGGCGTTTGTGATAGTCTCAACATCCATCCCAGCCGAGACGGTTAATTCAGCTAATTACCAAGCATCGCTGACAAGGATGTGTTCATGGGTGACTGTCCCAAGGCACCTACCCCTAGCAGAGAGGCTGGCTCAGAGTGTAGTTAAGGACATATCTGCACTCTGCGTACGTCTGGGAGCTGCCTACAGATCGCAGATGGTCTTTTTCGCCCACACGGTGTTGACCATGAGGTCGTGCTAACTGTAGCTGGCACATGTCCTTACTGAACAGTTATTGAACTCTCGCATTTTTCAACCCAATACGAAGGTCTATAGCGGCGCGCTCTTTCTCGCTCTCATAACAATGAGGATCGGTGCCAGTTTGATCGATGGGACGACGGGGTTTCAAAATCATGACGTGGTCGACAGTTCGACGAAAATTGAATAATGCGGTCGTACGAGGACTTATTGACAAGACACACACCGTTGAGGTAGGTATCTAGGTGGGTTGGAGCGGGCGAGATTCCTTCCCCACTTGTACAGCTCTTTTTCGGGGAGCAGGAGCACAGCTATGTGTAGAAGGGTCTTTTGTAGCTCTTCTTTGGTACTCTAACCCAACTTACTTCTTTACTATCCAATCCCAGCAAATGGGTATCACGACCTTACTGCTGCTTGACTCATCTATTCTGTTATTTTCCATTATTCTGGTCAATCTTTCTTTACTACTAGTTATTAGCTCGTTCCGATCACCTATTTACTGACGTTGACTTTATTACTTGATTCCCATTCGATCCACTAGGTTCCTGGAAGCAGCTTCAAGCACAATAAGTATAAATTTAATGTAAAAAGCAATAAATAATAAATATCAAGATAATACAATATAATTTGGTGAATATTTAATTAGATTTGAATTTACTTTTTTTGTGGCTTGTGTTTTTTATGCTGAGACTGATTGTAGCATAATTGTGATTTCGAGATGTGAAGTAGGCATGAGATAGCGAAAGCTCTTCAGAAAAGACAATGATGAAGAGCTTCGAAAAGTTCTACTCAATTATATAATATGGAAATGGGACAAAATCCTTGGCGTTATCAATCATCATTTGATATGCGCCCAGCATTCGACTTCCAGTCGGAGTAGTAGCAGCGTTTGAATGCGTATGTGGCCTATACAATGATTTGGGTGGACAGTGGATGTACAAGTCAGTCGTTTACCCTCCCAGACGAGTCCGCTACCAATTAACCGATCCCAGAAGCAGTTTAGCCTTGGTGAGCGTCAATCCGAGATCCGAACCCCAGACAATATGTCTATGATAGGGCGCCACTTGCCACTAAACCAGCTCCGCCCTAATATATCATATAGAAACTATGGTCATAATAACAAGCATGACAAACACTTTACTAAGCAATGAATAAAAATATGTTGAATACTAATCAATAATAAAAAATGTAATAATATAATATAAAGTTAAAGCCAACCTTACCGATACATCGAGACCGAGTCCACTTTTTGATGCAGGAACCACACCGTTTCCGGTGAAAAATAGTACGAGATCATCCCGATCCGACCATCGAGTCACCCTGAGAATAATGAAACTGTACTCCATAATTATTTACCCTTCAGAGCACAGGATGAGGATATTCGGGAAAAATCGAACGATTCTAATCTCGAAAGTGACAGTTTTAGCGTTCAGATCGTATCTCCACATTCATTCTCGTCATTCTTCTATGAAGTTGCTGAATTCATTTCCTTCTATCTCTTTTATGACCTTTACTATTCGTATAGTATTTACAAGTAATGATGTTAAAATTGTGTATTTTCTAAAGCCATTTCTTTAGCAATAGTAACCGAGAAAGTTGAAAAGTGCAGGAGCTCCATCGTCGTATCCACGAGAAGGTGTACGAAGGTTAGGCTCGTGAGAGCAAAGTGAGTTTGCTTGGATTCCATTTTTCAACTGACCTGTTTTATCAATATGTGACCCAAATGATCCCGTTAGAAATAGATTGAGGTCAATTCGGTGGGTCCATAGGCATACGCTGGGCTTCTCACTTCTTCTAATAAGTTTTTCGATGACAAGTCGAGGTTGTCGTGGAAAACCTCTGCTAGACGTCTCTCCTCCATTATCTTTGTGTTTGACGGTGTCCATTAGATTCAGCTTACTACTGTGATTCTTTGAAACAGCTAGCCAAGGCTTCTGGAGGCGTTCGCAGCCTTTTTAGCTAGCTTTAAGATTTTCTGAGAGCCTGTCCATTATATGATTCATTCGTTTTACCCATTGACGACCGCGGGGCCCGCCGGCGGGCCACACCATATCGTGCTGCTGTAGAATTTATATTATTTGTCAAGTGTTCTTATAGTTTTTTCATGTTTTCAAATATCAGCTGAGCTCACAGCCTTTTAGAGAATCTTGAGGCTTTGTGGCTCAGGAATCACTCATTTCCAACTACAGTTATAAGAGAAATTAAAAGTTAATGTAAGAACAGTATAAAAGTCCGGTCGCCAATGGGTAAACGTAGGTCTTAGGGGGTAGGGCCAGGAGGCGGCACCCTACTACGCACGGCCAAGAAGATCGAATCCTGGATCGACCTCCTTGTTTACAATTGGTTGCTTAAGTGACGGGCTCGGAAGAAAGTGGTGATTCGATGGTGAGAAACTTCCTCGCAATATTGACCATGTTACCAAACTCGATGGCCGAACTATTTCAGCATATTATGATGGTCCCGACACGAACTTTAATCTAGTCTATTGTACGGTAACGTGTGATTCACGTGCTCAAAAACGGCGAAAATACCTCACTCCATCACGTACGGCCGCTGTGACTGTCGACCAAACTTGAAAATGGCCTCCAAGTGATATCGATGGGAAACTATCTTATCATTTCACCTCATCACTCACGTTGATCATCCCTCTCCGTCCAGTTCAGTTCCTCAATCCCGATCAGAACGAGTGGTCTGCGGGTTTCTCAAAAACTGAGATCTTACTGGTTATTTACTATTTTCCTATTGCCTCTACTTCACTCTATTCTCGAAAGTGATGTTGAAGGATTTGCATACTATTTCAGAGTAATCTGGAAGTTTCGATAGAGTTCGTAGACAGCACGTAACGATCCAATGCTTATAAAAGTGCGTTCAGGATTGACAGATTATCATTTGTGAACTTTGAAAATGCAATGTCACTCTGGTAAAAGTACAATTTCAGGAATTTCGCATTCCACTCCCTTTGAAAGTCGAGGAATTCCGTCGGGGGCTACTGTATTCGGTATCCGAAGCCAGCAAATGTGAAACCGGTGGAGGTGAAGGAGCTGAGGCAGGTTCACTTAAATAGTTGACAGGAAATGTGGACACCAAACGAGTCAATAGAAACAAAACTCTTAAATTCGCGCGCCTGAGCCACACCCATTCGCGTAAAATCGATGTCTATTTGAACACATGCGGGAAAATAGCAGAATTAGGTAGAAGCAGCGCAGCAAGTAAGGAATACAGGGACAAAAGAGTTGCAGTAGAATCATGCCAAAAATATTAACCGCGTATCGATCCTGCTCTTTGAAAAGCCCCAGAACTGCCATAATGAGGCAACTAGTCCGCGACTGCCGCGTGCGACGAATCGATTAAACAAAACCGATTTAATTGCCAATCTCCCTTAGAGACATTGTTGCTGCTCGCTGCACCCTAACTCGCCAAAATATCGATTAGTTCATCTACATCTAGAGTTGAGATCAACAGACACGATTCTGTAATTATTCGCCCTAGTCCCTCTCCAATCATCGTGTTGCAGTCAATCTCTATTCCCCTTCGATCTTCCTAGATGCAGAGCTGTTCGGGTGAGAGCGACGTTCCGGGTTTTTGGAGCGTACCTTTTTTGACATCGCGTAAGTGATTATTTTGGGAATATATCACAAAGCCTTTTGACGGCCAGTAGTCCGATGCCAGTGGAACCTCCTCTCACTAACTGCTTCTCTCTGTCTTTGTCCTGAACGAGGACTTTCGGTCATTCCTTACCAGTTTCGAAGATTCGTTAGCGCTCCCATCGATCAATGACACCTGTCTGCATTGAACAAGGTTCGTTTTTCAAGTCTGGCTCTTCATGGGTGGTCGTGCCATTCTTGTTGAGACACATGAAACGAAGTCGCGACTTCAATGTTGGTTGAATCATTTGGCCACAGAACTGTTTTATTACGTTGGAAGACCTCTGAACGGCATTTTTGAACCAACAGCTGGCATAAACGGATCATTCTTGAAGAGAGTGACAGACTGACTCATCTTTTGCTAGAACCCTAGGTTGCAGCGAGAACTCGTTTTTGAAAACGAGGAGGGAGGTTGGGACCTTGCTGAGAGACAGTTTCTTTGCGGATCACAGAGGTCGATCTCTCATAGGCACTTAGCTACCGCATCAGGCCGGTATAAAGAATAAAGTCATTGGGCGTTAATCAATCCCGTAGGAGGAATGCGCCCCGCGTACGACTTCCATTCAAAGTTACGGTGGTCTATTGAATGCGTACGTACAATGACTAGCGGTGATCAGCCGATGTACAGCTCAATGTTTTTATCCTTTCAAACTGGTACCAATTGACCGATCCGGAAGGCTGGAAGGCTCTGTTGAACTATGCGGATATCTAGCCGAGGTTCGAACTTGTGACGATGTGCATGTGATAGTGCGTCTCTTGCCCCTTCGCCGCCTCGGCCTAAAGCTTCAATTATAAGAGGTAAAGCTATGATCAATTTAAAAAATCATCCCTCTGCAGCAGCACCGACTGATTCCGTTTGATTGCTCACTTGTGGATAGCCGGCATCGGTTTTCTTTAGATGCTCGANGTACCAATTGACCGATCTGGAAGACTGGAAGGCTCTGTCGATCTGGAAGACTGGAAGGCTCTGTTGAACTATGCGGATATCTAGCCGAGGTTCGAACTTGTGACCATGTACATGTGGTAGTGCGTTTCTTGCCCCTTCGCCGCCTCGGCCTAAGGCTTCAATCATAAAAGGTAAAGCTACGATCAATTTAAAAAATCATCCCTCTGCAGCAGCACCGACTGATTCCGTTTGACTGCTTACTTGTGGATAGCCGGCATCGGTTTTCTTTAGATGCTCGAAAATTTTAATTTCAGTTTGTAAAACAGTATGATTTCTTTGATGACACAACGATAAAACCAGGGAAAAAGCTCTCAGGCATATATTCCTACAAAATTTATCGGGTCAAATCGAAAGTACCATGGATTTTACAAAAAGTAGGTTCCACATGAAAACTTGATGTTCTGTCCTCAACTAGTCTCTTTGCCAAATTATTACTTGCCCTGTTTCAGTTACTACCTGAAGAAGCATTTGAGATACATGAAGAAAGCTGGAATGCCTACCCATACTGCAAAACGGTTCTTACGGTAAGTCAATTTAAAATTACCAGTAAATTCGCTGCTGCTTGTGAAAAAAAGTACAAACGGATAGCGGCATGACATTGATTCGGCCTTGATTCATATTGAACTGAGTTTCAGATTGAATGAAGACTTTTTGAAAAAAAAATTATAAGTGTTTTTGGGTGACGAGTATTTTTTAGAAGTAATTATTACCGTACTAGAAACACTTAGTAGGGTTTTAGTGGCAACTCGACCACTTCAGAATCCTGGCTACATGGGACAGAATTCATCGCTGATAATAGAATCGACTCATCTACCTGATAATGGTTCTTCTGAAAATGTGAGTGACTTCATCTCACCGACAGCTGTTTACTTGTTTTCTTTTTCTGAAATTTTAGGGGCTTTCTCCGAAAATGACTGAGTTTTAGCGATTTTCAATTTCTTTTTCAGCCCTTGAATATCAAAAAGAAGAGAGACGTAGTCTATTTGGATATATGTGATGATGAAATCATTGGTGAAGCTAACTATAAACCTGAGTTTGACCCGAAAATATTCCTATCAGAACGCACAGG